CCGTTCTGTACGCCGAACAGTCGAGGATAAGGTGGGCCGGACACGTAATGAGCATGAATGAAAACCGATGGACAAGAGCCGTTAGTGACTGGATTCCTCGGGATGTTAAACGCACTGTAGAAAGGTCACCGATCCAATGGTCAGAGTTCTTCACAAAGAGCGTTAAAAAAAGATATGATGCTCGACGAGTCCCTAGAGCAAGCAAAACCCACTGAACTACTCTGGCACGCGACAGGGAAAAATGGAAGATTTACTGACGCCCTCTCAAGTCACTCAACGGTCAACGGGAGTACAGGTCATGACGGTCACTTTGAAAATCATTGTTTTGCCATTTGATATGTGATAGCTAACACAATGCCTACTGTTGCACTACAAATTATCTGTTGAAAACAAGTTGTAACTGTCCTGTATAATAGAGCACAGCCGGGTAAGCATGCCTAGTACGAGCGATACCCACTGAAATTGATCTGACTCGATACGAAGGCAACGACTCCACTTTGGAAAGACGAACAATTGTAGACCACCTACTCAGATCTATTCGGATTGTCACCTTAGATGAATGAAGTCGGAGACGTCGGAAGATTACAATAAATCCATTTATCAACCGAATAGATCCATTTATCAGCCTTATGTAAGCTTTGCAATTTAAATACTTAATGACTCACAATTTTAACTTATTATCTACTACCTACTCTCTTTAATAGCAGGGTATTTTATGAAATATAACTTCAATTACGCTGAGATTTTTGCAAAACTCCAGACCGCATGTGCCTGCGATGGGGAACGAGCGCGGTGTTACCCTTTTCACGGGCTAGCGCGTTCACCACCGCACGTAGCATCAGCTTAACTGGGTTCATTGCCGATTAGGACTCCCCAGATCAATTCTGCCGACGAATTATTGCTGATGGCACTGATCGTTAGAAATAGCTGAGAGACAGGCGAAATGAAGGACCCACATGACGTGATGGTGAACGCGTTAGCCTCCGGAAAGGGTAATGGTGCGTTCGTTCACCACCGTAGACACCTTCGGTCCGGAGTTTTGCAAATATGTCAGCATCATTGAAGTTGTATTTGTTAACTATTTTATTGCCGAGATAAATGGCGAGCGGTCTGAAAATTATGGTCAATAGTTCCCTACATGATTGAGCTAACACAAGAGTGGTATAAACATTTACCTAGCTAACGTTTCCACGCCATCGCCTTCCTCATAGTGGCGTTGATTTTAATCGATGGTCCACCACTGGTCGTTGCAGCGGTGGATGTGCGATGGAGCCGTGAAGTTCCCAAGTAAAGCGGTGCTCTCCTTACATTTAATATGTTCTCCATATGTTATGAAGCTTTAGTGATCCATCTTCGTGAATCAATGCTGAGAGCGGACCGTTATACTTATAAAAACATATAATGAAGCGAATAAAGGATATTAGGATAACAGAGGAGCGCCTCAGTGATGTTTCTCTCTATCGAACATCCTCTGAAAAGGAATACAGAAATCAATTCCGAAAATTAAACCAAGAATGGGTCAGCACGGCAAAGGCCGCGGGCTTAGAGCCTTCAGTTATTTCTCGACTTAAAAACGAACACCCGATTTGCCCTGTCTTTTACTTGCTTATTAAAACACATAAGCTTACTTCAACTGATGATATTACGTCAGCGAACCCATCATCATATAAAGTTAGACCTATCATCAGTTGTATAGGCGGGCCAACGGATAGAATAACGTAGTTCCTAAACCTTATCCTAACTCAGCTGCTAAAATTCATCCCAACCCATCTATCTAACACCAACTTTGTACCAACGTGTCCAATGACTCCACAATGCAAGCCATTCTCGAGTTGCTCGTAGAGCGCGAAAAGAAAATTGAAATGCACGGCTTGTCGATTGGGCAACCAATGACTCTCTTAAAACAGCGTCTTAGTTGTTCAATCTTTAGGTAGTCTGAAAAATATTTTGCACAAATTAGAGGGTTGGCGATGGGGCAGCGTTTAGAACCAAGCCTTGCCATGGCTTTCATGTCTAAGGTGGAAGCTCCAGTTCTCGGTCACCGACCCTTTACTGTCGATACATAGACGACTGCTTCATCGTCTGTTCCACACAAGAACAGATGGATGAGTGCTTTGATTTATTAAAACGACAGTTAGAGTATATAAAATTTACACGAGAAAAACCTACCGAGAACTGGCTTCCATTCTTAAACATCCAAATAAAGCTCTCAGTAAGTGGCTATATAACAAAATGGTATCGCAAGCCAAGTAGTAAAAACATTCTAGTTCACTGCCTCTCTTCTCATCCTTCACACATGAAAAAAGCACTTATCAAAAACATGTATCGTACGGCTAAAAATGTGTGTACAGGAGAAGAAGAAAAGAAGGAATCGCAAAACTTGGCACGAAAAATTGCCATTTCCAATGGCTACGAAGTAGAAGCCACTCGGGGTAGAAGAAAACGTTGGGTAGTTTCCCAAAATAATATTTCAGACGACAGTAGGATCCCCTTTAAGTTGCCCTTCATATCAAATGAAGTAAGTCACGCCATTAAAAAGTGCTTAAGAAAAAGTGGTCTTGAAAATTATGTAACGATTACTGACATCCCACCCAATACCCTACGCCGCCAGTCAGTTCGAAACCGTCTCTACGATTGTTTGTGCAGCTCAGAAGACTGTATGATCTGCCTTAACGAGAAAGACGGGGATTGCATGAGTTCAGGTATAATATACTTGATCTCATGTAACACATGCGGCGAGGAATATATTGGGAAAACGGGCAGACTACTATTGTGTCCGCATAAAAGATACATCTAGATGGAAAAGCAAAAACCGTCTAAACACTCTTCTAGGTAGGCATAGGGCACAAAACCACAACGGCGATGATTTTGAAGTGAATGTGCGGATCCTAGCGCAGGAATCAAAAACATCAACGCGCAAAACTCTTGAGGCGTTTTGCATAAATTTCAAAAATCCAAGGATGAACCGGGAGGACGAATGCCTCACTATCACGCGTGACCTGGCGCCCTATTTCAAAATGATATTTTGACCCCGAGTGTGCCTTGCTCGCAACTCCACGAAAACAACGCGTGGGCCAGTTCCGCACGTAACATCACGGTGAGTGGCCTTTCTGTTCAATATGGCGTCTATTTGAAAGTTTGATCTTCGTTAACACTTTAACCTTTCTTTTCCACCAAATAATAAAAAATATTCTAACATAAAATACGTCCAGGCTCTGAGGAAGGCGAAGTCACCGAAACGTCAGCCATCGATCAATAACATCAAAAACAACGACAACGACAACGAAGATTTGTACCAACCTCGCGTCAGCTTAAGAAGATCAGCTTATAAGATCACATAAATAAGTATATCAACTACCTATGTCGAGGTTTATAGAAAGTCGGTCTTTCGAGTTAAATTAAGCGTTATACTTGCAAAAGTCCCGATGACATTTCTTCGGGCTGGTTCCATTCTACACTGTTCCTTGCAGTTTCCTCTGCCTTCAACATAAACAGCCAATGGAAAGTGGTAATAGTTACGTAACTTTTTGTGATTTATCCAGAGTGCTTTGAGAGTTTTGTGTTCAAACTTTAGTATTTTTGTATGACAACAGTGACCTGCGTGCCTGGTAATTTGCTTCAGATTTCTTGTCGAGGTCTTAGGATCTATTTTACACGGAGTTGACTACCCATTTCACGAACATATTCGTCCTCGCATGCTTCGCCAGTGCTCAGATAGCCTGTATTTGAACTCATGTAATTGTTCTTTCTATCGATATCGCAAATCATACAGTTTTGCCCTATACATAAGCTATCGTACAAACAAGGAAGAACTAACTGGCAGCGAAAGATGTACTGTGATATTCCAATCACTGCTACCAATTTCTCTAGACTTCACTTTAGGGGATCGCTTCACAGCTGTGCTTGCATAAGTATGAATAAACGGCATGTTAAACGGGACCTTGTTCCTGTTAAGCTTACCGTTAGGGAGAGTCGCTTTTCCTGTTAAGCTATCCCTAGAAACCTATCCCCTGTTTCCTTGAAAATGGATAACGGTCATGTAAGATGATCCCTTCTTCTGCTGTCTTTTTGTGCACACATTGTGTTCTGTACAAAACGCATTTCTTACAAGGGTGCTCTTCGTCCACTTTGTGGTGTCACCCTTTTCAGATATTTCGACTTGAACTTTCAAAGTGAAAGCCAGTTTCCCTTCGGTCTCCCTCGGGTGAATTTTATGTATCTTGACTGTTCCGTCAAAAAATCAGAACAACCATGTTTTTTTTTGTAGAGTAAGTAACAAAGGAATCACAAGAAAGCTGAGATATGAGCAAAACTAGAAACTTCGGTTGCGTTTCGAACCCGCGACAACCCTTTGGTAGTGATCACGCGTTATCCACTGGACCAACAGAGTTTATTGATTTGCCTTTCACTCAGGAAGTGTTTCTACTCCAATGGTGCTATCAGCAATAACGGAATTTCGACTACAGCTTTGGCTTAACTGTGTTCAATACCGTCATGTGCTTCCTATTCCCGTTTGCAGGTGATAGCATCGTTAAGTAAAGAATTGACCAAAGAAAGGCAAACGAGGTACTTGGATGGTGAGGTGGATAACATGTGAGTCCACGGAAAGGATGATCGTAGGCTGGAAGCGCACCTAACGTTCCGAGTTTTGCTTATATCTCAGCATCCCATTGTTTGTATTTTACATAACATCCTGCCTTGAAAAAAGAATGGGTAGTTAATAAGAGTTAGAGCAAAACAATTGTCGATATATCTTCGACCCTATCTGTCCGACTTGAAGCTGCCCTAAACATAGTCCTTTTCCTCAAGACCTTGGTTACAGCGACATTGCTGTGAAGTTCCGAGCATGTTTTCTCTATGAAAACGGCATCTTTCTTTCAACTCTTTATTGAGTGATAGAGAATAATGTTGCTTCAAAGTCTTGCATGCAGTCTTCTCAGACAGCTTTCAACCTCACCAAAAGTCACGATCTAAAAAATCAGGTACTGTATCAAATATTACTATGAGAAGAATTGCTCACCTACTTCAGTAATCCCGGAAGTGTGGTCTTCCCCATCCTCCTGGTCTGAATGGTTCTCCTCTTCTCCCATAACCTCCACCTCCTCCACGCCAGCCTCCTTCTCTTCCCCATCCTTCCGGTCCCCACCGCCCACCTCGTCTTTCCCAATTGTCTCCTCTCCAACCGCCTCCTCTCCCGTCACCTCGACTCCTTGAGCCACTTCTTCTTTCTCCACTTCGACCGTCCGAGTCATCACCTCTCTCACCACCGCGTCCTTCTGAGCCACCCCCTCTCCCGCCACCACGTTCTCCTGAGCCATTTTCTGTCCCGCCGCCACGTCCTTCCGAACCACCCTTCCTCTCACCACCACGTCCTTCTGAGCCGCCTCTTCTTCCCTCCTTACGTCCATCAGCGCCTGCTCCTATAAATCCACTTTCTCTGTCATTTCATCCTGGAAGCAACTATAATCTATCTACACCTTTCTTCGAGACCTTAACAGAAAATTACGTGTTTCAATTTAAACCTAATTCCGTTTTCAAATCAAAATTAACATCTGCATAATTTCGAAAAAGAAATCATTTCTTGAACTACGCTTTTGTTTGCCGCTTGCTGTTGAATCGTTCCAATTACTGTTGCCACTGTGAACTCGCCTCATTCTTCTTAAAGGTGACCATTGTTGTAGTGAACTCCGAACAAAATTCGTTATTTTATACCTGCAGTTTTATCACACCATTTCCTAAGCAAAGGCACATTTTTGGTTTCAAAACTTTTGTAATATAGCATAGTATTAATCGAATTTGAATGAATTGAGTAGTTAAGTACGTAGTGAAATTTTTACACACTTACCACTTCTTTCGAACTGCGGTGATACTACAATACAAATCAGTAGTAGGATTAGCAATATTATAAACGGTCGACGCATTTCTATAACAGTTGATTTTTTAGACGACATGCAATCACTTGCTGACCAGTTTATTAAAACACGAATACGGTAATGCAAACACAAACCAGGAAAATTCCGACACAAATATTGATCTACTGCAATGTCCTATTCGAAGAGTGATTGTTTTCAGCAGTCAAAGAAAAACCCTTAAAGGGTTCACAGTTGATCTAATTATTCCTTGGACTTCACTAAACATTGTGAAAGCAAAGCAACTGAATACGTGTTGCTTCCATACAATGGCTTCAGATGGCCGATGAATGCCAAGTCAACCTTTTCATTTTTAGAATGTGTGTTATAATCCTGAAGATAGATAAATCCTGAATGGTATATCCTCTAGCCTTTCAATTTCGCACTCACAGAATAGAAATTATGCTGTTTTGCGGCTCCGTGTTATTAAGCTATCCAGGTATTCACTTTATTTGCCAAATTATTAAACCTGTATTCTTATATTGTGTTGAACCTAACATTTTTCCATTCAGCTTCTCACCCTGCATCCATCATTCACGAAGGTGTTTGGATTTTCACAAGGGCTGTGCTGCAACTCGAAAATCATGTTTTCTTAGCCAATCTCGATCACTGTCTTTTGATCGTGATTTTTTTGGGATCCTGAGGAAGCACTGTTAAATCATCCTTAGCTCCTCATCATCAAGTAGTCGCGGATTTTTGTGAATTCGAGGAATTCCTTTCCAGAGAAGTCTGCTACCAATTTGCGGATCCCGAAAATACAGGAGGTTCCACGACCGACTTTCTATTAACCTCGGCATTGATCAAATAATTCTTCGTATTTTTGTTGAGCAAACGCGAGGTGTTATTATTCTTTATTCACGAATAAGCTGACGTTTTGGCGGATTTCGCCTACCTTAGAGCCTGGAAGGGTCAAGTTGATAGCTATCTATTCGGCCAGACACCTCCATAACCAAACAAAGAAACTCTAAACCAGGATTTCAATCACATTGAACACAACTTTGCACACTCACCGCTTTCCATGAGGTTTCCACTAAGTATGTCGCGTGAAGACCAACCGCACAGAAACCACATGGAAACATAAGAAAGCGGTGAGTGTGCAAATGATGAACGCAGTAAGTTAATGATATGCAAAATGATAACCTTCAAACGACGACCTACAAAAACGGTGGCAAATCTGCCATTACCAGGAAGGTTTTTTGGCAGTGGCTAGAGCTATATGAATAATAAGTGTATAAGTGGTGATGTCGAAATATTGAAACGTTAAAGTAAACGACTGTCCAATCTGCCAAGATTTGAACGTAAGGTAACAGAAACGTAGTCCTAAAGTTAAAAATGAGTATTGAACAAAATGGAATGACGATGTTTACCTGCGGCTAACACACCATTGCTCTTGAGGTTTTAAACTACTTTCTCGAGCGTCATTACAACGTATAGCACTATTCCACGCCCAGTTTAAGATCTACTTTTCGTCGTCTTCCCGTTTGATAAAATGTTCCAGTGATTTTTCGTAGCAAAAAATATAAGAGGAAATGCAGATACAAGCAGAAAAAAGCACGGTTGAAAGATCAGAGCAAATTTTGCAGCAATGCTAAAAGTGCTTCAAATGAAGTCTTTCGAAACTGCTATTCTTTTCCTAAAAAAGCCATAACTAGAAAATTAGAATTAAAGGTAAGCCAGCAAGCTGTCAAAAATCGAACGAAATTCCAAGAAACCACAATAGCTTAACCAGCAAACCTTCGAAAAGTGGATATTATGCTGGGGCCTGCACCACCAGTGAGGACGGGCCATTCAAGTATCAAGTATCAAGTAAGTAATCCTACAACACTACATGTGTAACAATTAGACAGAGAACAGTATAGTTGCCTTGATATAGAACGAATGTTTTTTGAACGGTGAGGTGCTTCTGTAAGAAGCGAATGTTTTGAAAATAGTGAAGAGCTTTCAGGTTGAATGCGCTTCACAGAAAGAAGTTTTGTGTTATAAAATAGACGTCTCGATGAACGGAACTGGTAAGCATTGACACCTGAATGGACAAATATTCGGTTCCATGGAGAGCACATATTCCGTTATCTGCCAATTTTTGTGTTAGTTGGCACAATTCCAAATACGTCCACGCCGCTGCCGACGATCAAGTGAGAAACTTGTTTTCTACTGAACCAGATAAATTTACACCTTTTGTTATTCGTGTGTGTGTGTTGTGAGAGTGTGTGCGTGTGTGTTTATTATCACAAGGACGATAAACAAAAAATTTTCCTGAAAAGTTATACATAAAATAAATTTATTAACGGAATATAGGAATAAAGTTTCGAAACTCAGTTCTCTTCTCAAAATTAAAGAAACACTAAATACTAAATTTTACAATCTGTACCCTTCTTGTTAACCGAATGAAGCCAAATCTAATGCAAGGAAAAGCCTTAACTTAAGTTGTTCTACTTACTTGTATGCTTGGAAGGAGCGTCCTCACTAGTTCTGCGGACCCCATCATAATCTCCATCTTACGGAGTTTTGCTAGCTTAGCCATGGTGTTTCCCTGGAGTTCCGAGATCAGCCTGGCCAAAGTCTGCCTCTGGTTTTCACCACCACAGTCATTCGCAGCCCTTAAGGATTAGAGGTAGATTTGCCACCATGCAGTTTGATACTAGGACGGTGGTGGATCCTGGTACTGGTATTGGTTTACTCCTAGCTAAACTTCCTGATGGAAATGCTGGATTCCTTCCCAGCTTGGGTGAGACCCTGCCGGTGGGATGAATTCCCTCGATGAACATCGCTGTCCGACACTCAAGGACGCATCCGAGCCACGATGAGGCGATAAACCGTTGGGAAGAACCTAAGTTGTTTCACCATTAATAAACAAAATTTTAAGTATTTCGTTCACTATTGTGTAGATTTTAATGTTTCCATTCCGATTAATGAAAGTCAATAACATTTGAGCTCTAGGTACTCAAAACTTGAAGTCAAAGGGTGATAATTTTTCTCACCGGCTTACAAGTGGCTGTGAAGGCAAGAGTGACTAACAGGTTTATTGAAACGAAAAGGCTTTCTTCGTAAAAAAAAAAGGCGTAACAAGTGAAAATACAAATCGTTGGTCTTTCATCATAAATCATTCGAAATCGTGTTATCAAACTGGCTCAGCTGTCAGACGACAACAAGGACGCATGAAAACAAGACGATGAAAGCACGCTCTTTGTTAGGTGGCCATCGATTACCCCAATATTTGGTGAACACTCGTTGGCGATATACAAAAGCCCCATTATACAGATTCATCTGTGCCGTTTCTAAGATCATAATACACCTCATGTTTTTGGAGAGAGTTAAAGCACGTTCATCTATTGATTCGCTCCATGAACTTTGGCCTAGAACTAATCGTAAGTTACTAGTTTTTGACTAGCTGCATCATATTTACGGAAGATCAGAATTCTTTAGCAAGTCCCAAAGGAGACTTTCAACTAAGCTCGGAATCGATCAATAATTCACTGTTCTTCTCGAAGAGCAAACAAGAGGTTGGTATTGCAGCACTTATTAGTATATAATCGCCGACATTTCGGCAGTTTCACTTTCTTTAGAGTCTGGAAAAGTCAAATCGATACCCAAAATAGTCAGCCAATTACCTTCACTACCTCGGTAAATAAGAAATAATACACAGAACTCTATCGCATAATAACTCTCTTTTAAGCACCCACTGTTTTATTCTTTGTAAGTCTTCCATTTATTTCGTGGAGACTAGCACAGAGTATTAAATGGACGAGGAATATGTGTGGCTCAAGTCAAAAAGAATCAACATGAGATATGGCGCTAGGTCACGCGTGGTCACAGAACACTCCTCTTTGTGGTTCGTTTGGATTTATGGAGTCTATTCAAAGCACTTCGAGAGATTTATGCACTGACGTTTCTGCGCCTTGTACGAGGATAATGACTTTTGTACTAAAATCGTTTCCACTGTTCTTTTGTCTCCTATGCGACCTTAGTGAGATACTTCGTCTTGTTTTTCGCTAGCCACCTGTGTGTTCTTTTATACGTACACGTAAAGGTCTGCGGTTTCGCCAATTTACTCATCTCTGTAACTATTACAAGAGATGAGGTATGTCGCACCAGAACTTAATCAGTCACCGTCCTGGCCATGAAGGCACCTCTATCTTGGTCTTATGGACGAACTAGCTGAGGACGAAGAGTATTCGAATGTATTTTGACAATCGATCGATTGATCTAGACCTATTCTTCTTAATCATCACTACCTTGAATTCATCGCTAGTAAAGGGCGAGGTGGAGGGGATTTTGTTTCGACTAATACCTTCCGTTTGAATCCGTCGCTGTGCTAAACTTATCTCGTGGTGTTACGATTTCTCAACTGGTGGAGAAGGTTATTTGTCGAGGTAAATCATGCGATTTATCTTTAGTTCCTTAGTTGCAGACACAGAGGTGGATGTTCGAAACTTATTTCTTACAAGCGACCCCTTATTGTATGAGGGGTGGAAGGAGAAGTATTGAACAAGCATATTTTT